GATCATCTATGCAACTGTCTCAAGAGGGCCTGTGGTCCTCGCAGAGCACACAACAAGCTCAGGAAATTTCACACAAATCACACAAATCATACTGGACAAGATACCGCCCAACAATGCGAAGATGTCCTACATATACGATAAATTCCTGTTCCACTACGTAGTTCAGGTGAGAGCCTATACCATCAAACATTGTCTTTGATGCTTCGATACAGTGTTGCTTGTCTTAGAGGATGTGGTCGTATTAGAGAAAGATACCTGCAGTGTACAGCGGAATCTCGTTTCTTGTTGCCTCGTGTTTGTATTTCTTTGACCGCACGTCCTTTGGCCTACGTATTCAATATTGTGAGATCTAATTGTGTCTCTCTCTGCACAATGGTCTTCTCTTATATGTACCCGAACAGCGGTACCTATTTGTGTGTAGCTGTTGTTTATGTATCAGGTCGGTGTGCAATTTAGCCCACCGCCACTATGCTCAGCACCCTAGTCGATGTCAGCCAAAGCTGCGAGCGGCCTTACTGGTTATGTACTATTGTGTTGCGGTGCATACTGACTAACCGTTTAGGTAGTCTCGGCTATCAAGACGAGTGCACCTATCTCTGTATGACGCAGACTACGTGTGTTTTTATTGCGGTGCATGCTGTCCAAGCTTCAAGTTATTCCGGCTATCAGGATGGATACACATATCTCTGCATGGCCAATGAGGAGTTTCAAAGACGAATTGCCTTTGCCTTCTTGACCGACATACAATCAAGATTTCAAAGTACCTTGGGGATGCGTGCAAACACCGCCGGTGCCTATTCCCTAAACGAACAGTTCAAGCCTGTACTACAAACACAGGTAGAATACGACATCTCATCGAGTATCTTCTTTCTTCTCTGTCTGGTTGACCATTCTAAGTCGTTGGTGTCCAAAATCGTCTGCATCGTTGTGCCACTAAAATAATCGATGCTTCGCTCTTCAACAGATGGAATACTATTCCTTCAATCCGAATGCAGATCGTATCGTACAGGTTCAAGGGGAGATAGACGAGGTTAAGAAAGTGATGGTGGAAAATATAGGCAAGCTATGTGTTCCGAGGTTACATACGCGTGTCTGGTTTTCAATAGTCTTTCCGGTGGCAGTTATAGTTAAATAATAAATTTACATATACTACAAACAGAGAAAGTACTGGAGAGGGGCGAGCACATTGAACTCTTGGTGGATCGGACCGAAACGCTCAATCAACAGGTATGTAGTAGACATATCTCAAAATTTCTGGTGTCCTTTTAGACGCCGTCTTACCAGGTCACTCTCATGCTTTCGTGTTGTTGTAGGGAAAGTGAGTCTTACTTCCACTTAACAGCGAACAATCCCATTTTAAATTGATAGGCATTTCACTTCAAGAAGAAGGCAACCGTAATGAAGAGGCAATACTGGTGGAAGAACAAGAAATATTTACTGATAATCATTCTGATCGTGGCGGTAAGTGAACAATTGCATCCACCAAACTCTACCAGATACATCGGAGTCGTAGTATATATAGCAAGCTTTTACACAAGTAGCTTGATAGTTCGGAGGGTTGAGTTGCAGCACTCGCAAGCGATGGTTTCGTATCAGTTGCCATTGTTGCTTTCCTTTAATTGATAACCGTGTTTATTATTTTACAATACAGTTGGTGGCGTATATACTGTTCGCATGGACTTGCGGAGGTCCCAACCTTCCTTGTTTGCAGAAGGATACATGAATACTATTTGCACCCGTTATTGTGACCGACTTTGTAAGGAGGTTTGCTTTGCGCGGTTACTGTCAATGAGGAGGACCAAATGCGCAAGCCTTCCACAGGCTGCTTAGGCCAAATTGACTTTTGTCAGTGCCTTTCGAATTAAAGCAAACTGAGCGCAGTCTGGATCTACTCGTGGCAATTTGTCTTGCTTTCTGCAAGTTCGTCGTCGTAGGTGGCATCGACACAATATGAATGAAATCGAGACTAATACTGGCAGGTGTGGTTTTCTGCCCAACAACCCGTCAGCATCATGCTGTCTCATTTTCCGGATGAAGAATTGCTGCAGATGTGGAAATACCTGTGACTTTTTTCTATATTAAAGTGAAATGCCCTCCCCGAACAACATAATCTTTTTCTAAATACTTCAGTGTCTGAGCGGAATATGAGACTTTCACAAGGTGATAAAAAAATAGCTACTTGTTCTATCTCCTTCCGACTGTTCATAGTGATTCGTGTGCTGACTATTTCAGATAATAGTTGGATTGAGCGGGACTACCTGTCTTATACTTTAACATACATATGTCAACTACTACCTATAGACAATTCCACGAATTCAACACAACTAGTCATGATTTTCAACTCTTCGTTGTATCCTATCTGTCCCAATGTATTGCCTGGCTGAAATATAAATAATAGCTATTTGCTAAGGGATGTGGAGAACTAAAAGGCCTGATAGTGAAGACTACAACAACACCTCGATTCTGATCTATTTTCGTTCAATTCTTCACTCCAGAGTTAAGCTATTCGAATATTCTCGTTGCCTCTTACGAAGCACAGGTATAGGTATATGGACATAAGGTTTGGTTTAAGATACCATAATCCGGCGGCCAGCCTATCTAAGCTGTTTTTATAAATGAGTGCTTCCCTGAAGGGCTGGACAAGAATTAAACTGAGTGAGATATACTATAACAGATGCAGCCACGAGTCTTGAAAATTAGTTTTTTTTTAGTCTAAAGCAGACTTTAAACACAGTATCGAGTTCATTTAGTGAAGCACTTCGTGCCCAATGCCACGCATGTGAAAACCAAAGCTAGAAGACGTGGCGGACGATAGAAGGTTGATATCCCTGCTTCTCCATACATCTTAAATTTAGGCAAGGGTCTGTTCAATGTAGTATATTCCATATCGATTGAGAACAGCGGCCATCTTAAATTTACTAATTATTTATCTGGGATTTTTACACATACTGTCGGCATGGCACAATGTCTAGCCTGACTGATCCGAGTTCATACGTCGGATTGAAGCACCGACAGTCAATCCGTCAGTTCCTGGAGCATGGTGACTGTGCCGCTTCCAGCCACAGACTTACTAGAATATATCGGAATTGCCTTCCACGGATGTGAAGATGTTTGCATCTGATTTGGGCGTTGATTGGTTTCAATTGACTGTCAGCGAATTGAAACCAGCGCAATTTTATAACGAGCTGAAAGACTTCATGACAGAACCAGACAAAAGAATATCAAATATGATTCCACATACAAGTTTTCGGCGTCACATTTTGCGGTACTCTATTTTGACTGAAGTCGTGCTGGAATACGGAATTTTCTTCATTGTTCAGACCCGCTAGAAAGTACTCCCTGGTATAGTTATGATAAATTTATATGTTAAGATGTATATCAATCAAGAAATGAAAACAGTAACGATGAGGAGGGAATATACAGTACTTTGAATCAAACCGCTACTACCCTCTATTACAATGCCAAGTAACTTCATAATAATTACCTGTCGTCGTCAGGATTTGGGATCACAGGCCCACCATCCGCACGAGATGCATTCGCAATCCCCTTGCTTGTACTCCCATTGGGCCTCTCAATATCATCAACTAGAGGAGGAGGCACCGGCACGTCTCGTTCTAGTTCATCATTGCCGTTCTTCTTCATAGGCGGTGGCACAGGTGACGGTGTTGCAAAACGTTCTAATGGTGGAGGGGCCACCTTAAAGACGCCATCAAATGATGTTATGGAGTCAAAAAGTGGTGGTGTGACGGCCGTCGTATCCAATTCCGGCAAAGGCGATGGTAAGACATCTCGCTCTATCTCTGGAGCATCAGCTGGTACCAGAGCCCGTTGATTTGCTTCGATACCCTTTTCTGCTGCGAGGGTCGGCGACGGCTTCCTAGGTGGGTTTGGGCTCCGAAGGTTATCGACATCCAAATCGGAATCCGATGCCACGCCGTTTGATTCAAAATCTGGCAAGGGAGGAGGGCACTCCTTGAATATATTCTCAGTCTGTGTGTGGTAGTTGACCTCCAAGAATGTATCGTCGAGAGGGAGTGGCAGTGTCGGAGGTGAAGCTGCTGAGGGCTCCTTGATCCTCGGGGTCACAAAGGAATTCACTGGAGATAACCTGTCTGGTGATGCCTCTGGTGTGTATTCCTCAAGGAACGGTGGCGGACTTGCGGATGGCGTGTGCGCGATAAACGTTGATTTGGATTCTGGGGGTGATGAATTGTCCTTAGTAGCCTCGAGTTTAGTTTCGGTCCTAGGTTCGACTTTGGGTTTGGCACTGTCGGGCGAAGCTGGTGGTAGAGGTGGGGGAAGTTCGGGCGAAGCGCACTCCTGCCCATCGTTGCTTTTCACCTTTGGCTCATCTTGAGGCTGGACCTTATACGTGAAAGAAATGTAATATTTGATTAGAGAATACAACTCAGTTCCATCGGGTTCAAACACTTAAAGAATAGAGAGGAGATAAACACGGCATGTGTGCAAAGATCTGAGCTAAATTTACACACGATGCTACATGCTATACAAATAGAACTCCTAATAGAAGTGACTAATGTCTATATTGTAATACTATCAGTGATAAAGTCCATCGTAGCAAATTGCAAACCCTGGTCCAAATTACGTGTTTATGTACCACTGGAACAGTCGGCGGGGAAAAAGGCTGCGACGGCGTTCTGGAACTTTCTACGGAGGAGGGCGATTTAGACATGTTTAACACGCCAGCAATAGGAGGTACGACGTGTGTTCGTGGCGATTTCGAAGATGTACTTTGTGGTTGAGTTAGCGCAGGACCTTTCGGTGATCGACGTTTGTATGCCTTCAGTGTATCTAATTGGTCACTAGCATCGGCGTCGCCACCACCATCATCATTCTCAAAGAGAGTTTTGCCAGACTTTCCCTTACTATGTTCGCTGGATTTGTCATGATTTTGACCAAAACCGTCTGTCTCATCTTCACTATCACTGGCGCCCCAAGTCAAAGTACGCTCGGCACCTCCCTTTTTCTTTCGGGCCTTGTCTTTAGTAGCTCTTGTGGATGCGACAGAAAATTGAGTGTCATCCTGACTGTCATCGAGTCCGAATAAACTATCGCTCGCTTGCCTAGGCTTAGATCCCTTCCGTTTGTCTTTCTTTCCAGGGCTAATGAGGTTGCCCATGATCTTCCTACTCACATCCTCGGAGAACAGATCATCGTCTCCTTCAAAAAGGCTATTTGCCTTGTTAATGCCTAAATTGCTTTCCATTATAGATTCCATCATGGCAGATTTCTTCGGTTTTGCAGACTGCGTAGCGCTTAGACCGAAATCATCTGCTTCGTCGCTTCCATCATCCCCAAACAATCCGCTAGAAGCAACATTTGAGATGACAGGTCGTATGTGTATTTTCTTTGACGATACAGACGAGACTGTCGGTTCAATATTGGCAGAGGCACCCTTAACTTCTATTGGCACATTTTCTGATTTTCTGGTAACATTCGCGCTCGACCTGTCCATCGCACTCCATACTTCCGCACTCCGACTGGCACTCTCACCAATGAGTGTTTCGGCCGACTCGCCCGCATTCTCTATTAAATCTCCACTACTCTCATCTGCTATGGCTTCTTTATTGAGCGCGGCATATGATTTAAGACTCTTGTGCCCAGTAACATTTGGACCGTTAGAGCTGTCTCCGGCAATTATGGGCGTGCTCGTGGATGACGCTCCGGCGTCCTTGATACTTGTAGACGAGCCCGAATTTTCGAGTGTGTCTATTGCAACGGGTTCGATATCAATATCGGATCTTATTGACGGTGTAGTGATTCCTTCGACAATACGTCCCTCACATACTATAGTAGCATGACCTTTAGTAACCCCAGTTTGAAAACTAATATTTACACTACGCAGCTTGCGATCGGGTATACCAGATGATTGGAATGTTCCATCACTGCCAGTCTCCTCCTCATCGCTTCCAAACATACCGACAGTAGTGTTTGAGGAAGGGCCACGCTGAGTAGTACTGACAACTGGATTCTTTTTCACCTCCCATCCAGTTTTCCGATTGCCATTTATCGACTTCCGACCGGCATTCGGTATAGCGCTGAACAGCTCATCGGTTTCAGAACCGCTGTCTTCGCCCTCGAGCGAGCCGGTGTGAGAACTATCCTTTCCGCTATATACTCCCTTGTCCTTCCTACTCCTTGCGACTCTCATCTTGTTTTGTTTAGGGGGTTCGCTAAATATGTCTCTCTTGTCATCTCTGGCCAATACCTCCGTGAGTTCATCATCAGAATCATCAAACATGCTTCTGGCCGACTTCTTCGTTCGGCCTTGGCTTTTTTGCCTGCGGTCGCTTTCTTTCGCTAAAGTGCGCGTAATGGTGTCGAATCCGTCCTCCTCCCTCTCAATGTCGCCGAACAATGACTGTGGTACTTTCTTTCGCAGCGCGCTACTGGTGAAATGCGACGATGGAGTGTCGAATATACCTCCGACGTCGGATGCACTGCCATCCAAATCATCGATCGCTGCAGGCTTTGAGACTGCGAAGGCCTTCGATGAGCTCTCCTTTGTACCAATCATCTTGCCTGGCTTTTCACTAAACAACCCCAGCGAGGCAGCGGAACGGGAGCTATCCACTACTCTGTCGCTTGTAGAAGAACTTTTAGTTCGTCTGCTAGTTGATGTTTTGGCATGCGCATTTGGAACAATCTTAGATGTCGTACTCTGTTTCGGTGAGAGCTTGCCTTCTTGGGGGCTTCGTCGCGAAGTGGCACTTGTTGTTCTCGCACTCTTTGAGGAGAATACCGATGCAGCCGCCGTATTCCTCCCATCCGTTTGAGCGCTTTCCACCGGGGCAGTATCCTCCTGCGCCTGTGCGAATATATTGGCTACATTTGCATCGTTTTGGCCCAACATATTGCTCTCTTTATTGCGAGACCGGCCACCGCGCATTTTTGAACTGGAATTTACATCAGTTGCTACCGTGTTCGGATCGTATTTCTTCGTCCCCACACCCAGTGGATTCAGGCTAACAAACCTTTCGCGGGCAGGAGGCTTTTTCACACTCGATGTCACGACAAACTCATCAGCATCTCCATCAGCAATTGCATCTGATCCTATAGCTCCACTTATTGCACCCTTCTTTCTAATCTTTTCTGCGCCGAATATACTCAACTTCTGTTTTAATTTCTTCTGACTGCCAAATAGAGACCCACCATTTCCTTCTCGGCTAACAAGCTTACTGGCAGAGCTAGGTCCAAAAAGTCCGTCCTCCTCATCAGTTTCGGCACGATCATTGTAGAGGCCAAAAGCCAATGTTTTAGCCTTAGACCTCGTAGGCCCCTTCTCTGCACCATTTTCTTCATCAGAAGCATCATCGTCAAAAAGATTTATGGCATCGCTACAGGGCCCAACTCCAGAGTTGACGGAGAGCATACGACCGACTTGAAGGTTAGCTAACGGCGAGTGCGCGATAGGTTGCGTTTCAAAAATGACTGGCCTGTTGTTCGTGGGAATTTCAGAGTTTCTATCATCCGAGTGCGCTTCCATCGAGGAGCGCGTGCCTGATTCCGACGTATTTCGAATACTATTCGCGCCTGCGCCCTTAGCTTCTGATTTGTCGTCTGTGGGTTCGTTTCTTGCTGGCGTATTCTCAACGACTTCAATATTTGCGACCTTCTGGGATTGGATGTCAATTTTCGCGGTCATATCATCTCCATCTGTACTTGTGTCCGTCTCAACCGGTCTGCCTTCTCCAACAGTGCTCGAATTCGATACCAGTCCGATATCAGTTATGTTTGCTTTCTGCAAGGAAAGAGTTCTTGGCTTTGGGTCGGACAGTTCCCGTTCAATATTTTGCTCGCTCCTAGAGTCAAACTCCGCTGTATCCTTGTTCTCGGTAACCTTTGTATCCGATTCCGACACGCTATCTTCCGCGCTACTCACCGATTGGTCGGTCAGCTTCGGTGCTGTCTCGTCCGTTTCCGAGTCACATGCCTTATCCTCCGCAGGGAGACGCGAAGACGTTCTCCACACAGCGGGGGATCGTGGGGCTATCTTATTTCGACTATCACAAACAGGAGTGAACAAATCAGAATCCTCGGCATCGCCGTCACTATCGAACAGCCCAACAGACTTGGGTGGTTCTTTAGGTTCCTCTATCTCTGTAGGCACCGGAGGTGTCGGTACTATAACTGGTGCAGGAGTTTGACGCACAGGTTTGATTGGCGACTTGTGTTTTCGCGGCTTGTGCACTACCGGCTCGGCAGCGAATAGATCTTCGTCGCTGTTCTCGTCAATTGAGAAGCTAAAAACTTTCTTCCGTTCTTTTATCTTTGGTGCACATTCTCTCGCGTCATTGTTTGCTTCCGGGAACGTCTCACTGGTGATTGGACCCACATCGTTGCTCGCAATCCCGCTCGCGGTCTCCTTGTCATTCGCGGAAGGTTCAGTTCCGTTCGTTGTAGAGTCGTTTGGGACCCCCGCTGAGGAAAGCGAAGCACTGGCGGATGTATACAGCGAGTCGTCGTTGCTAGTCCTCCCACCATCCTCCATCGATACACAGTCCTGGATATTGGCCACTGTCTGCTTTGCTGTTGTTGGTTGAGAAGTGCATGTGCTCGCCGCTTCATCCTTGCTGGTGTCAGTGGATAAATCTGGGTTGAATTCCAAAAAAGTGACAGGCCCGCACGAAGATTGCTCAGCGTCGTCACTAGATGTATGATTATTGACAGGGTTAATTCTCTCATCTGATGTCTCAGTGGTAAGATCAGCAGGAGATTCACCGTCCATTTCGCCACTGTGAGCACCCTTGTCTATGCTATCACTGAAGCTCGCAGAAGAGTCAGTTGTCACTATCTTGCTCTCACGTACGGACACGTCCTTTACTCCGTTCCCATCTCCCACGTTATCATCTGCTGATCTTTGGCAATTTCCGCCTTGATCACCTGACTCTGCAGCGCTCGCCACATTCTTATTGTCCGACGAGTGATCAATATCCAGTATTGGATCAGCGAGCGCATCATCACGACTGGAGTCTTCCTGAGACGCGTCGCATAGCTGGGAATTTGAAGAACTCTCAGTGGCAATAGTTGGTGATAGTATGGGGCTGGCATCAGTTGTATCTTGCGAGCTGTCACTATCATTGAACAGACTATCTTTGAGAGTTTCCGATTGGGTCTCACTCGCCATCTCGCCGCTAAACAAGTCATTCATGGTCTCGCTTTTAGTTCGATTTCGTATTGCGCGTAAAGGTTGCACCTTTGGATTGTCCTTATTCGCATCGGTTCGGGCTTCTTCTATGGTTTCTCGCAATGTCGAGGTGAATTTGTCACAGGTGGAACTGTTGGCTGATAACGCCGACGTTGTATCAAACTCTGGTTCGTCTGAATCGGACGCTGTATAGAAGAGCAAAAATATGCACAAGATTAAAAAATACGACGACTACAGAGAGCGGTGGAGGGAGGAATGAAGCAACTATTATGGCCTAAAATGTTAAAAAGATATACTGAATTGGGTTAATGCCTCTGTACTATGGCTTGCATATAAATCCAGGTCACATTTAAAATCAAATGCGCTAGCTAACCTATTACAAGCCTAATCGTGCAATGGCACACTCCCACGGCGCTATGAACAATATAATTTATTCAACTGAAGAAAAAACCCCCAGGCCATAAGCAAACATCCGTATAGGATATTATATATAGCTCAGATGACTGAATATATATTCTACAAATATGTGTGTCTTATTACATGAAATATACGATGAACTCACCAGTTATGTGCGCAGGACGCTTCACACGTCCCATTAACGGATCATCATAGTACTCATCTTCCACGTTCGGCGACTTAGCGTCCTCTGTGTTTAGAGCTCCTTTCGACGCGTCCCCGCCGTTGTCACTCCCTTCCAAATCCTGATCGTCATCATCAAAGAATAAAGATCTAGAAGACTCCGTCATCGCTGGCTTGCTTGCAGTGTCGTACGACTCATTTTCGTGTTGGCAAAACTCTGACATATTATCTACTGATGGTGGTAGAAATAGACCCGGTGCCGCTTGGCGGGCCGACTGCTTCGGCCGCGCGGCATTCTTGTCACCAGACATAAGTGGAAGACTAGCTTCGGTAGTCGCGTGAAAATTCGGCTCTGCTTTATCATGTCCAGTGCTGAAATGTGCGTGCATTTTCCAGAGAATGACATTATAAAATTTATACTGAAGATCATGGATTGCAGAAAGCACGAGGCTTCGAATGATACAAACCCTGAATATGTACTGCACAACCTACAGTGCATAAAACATATACCAGTCTCTGGCATTTCGATTGTGTAATTTTTTTGAACTTGAGAATCGGGAAAGCAGTGTAGTTGGAAGATGTGTGACAACAATCAGAACGTGAACAAAAATAAATACATGATACAACTTCGGACACGCCGTGATTCCGGAACCCTTTTCCAGCCATGTCATGACCAGCGATAACGGATTTAACCAATCGCTACTAAACAACTCGACGTCAACCTACACAAACATTTGTGGCTTTTGTAAACACGCGATTAAACTGCACGTTCAAAAAAAAAACATTAAAGATCATGCATGCTCAAATTATTACGGAGTCTCCAGTTCACAACAGCCGGGCTAATCAACACATACTCATTGTCCGGAGCAGTCTCCACATTCGAATCAAGCCCTTCTCTACTTGCCACAGCAGCATCATCTTCGCGTTCATTTACAGATGGCAAACCCTCTGAGTTTGATACTGAACTCTGATTCGACGATGTACTTCCCGAAGAGTGCTTATCAATAGCATCGAAGGTTTGATCGGGGACTGAAGAGCTATTCAATGTTTCTGTTGAATTACCGAGGGCTGAAACTTCATCGTCAACCAAACCCTGTACACTTTCCTTTTGGCGTATTGTGCTGATAGCTTTATCGATGGCCCCGTCTATGAGCTTCTCCTCCGATTCATCATCTCGGATAGGTGACTCTATACCTTGATGGTTCACAACTGTATCATCGGTTTCCCCTATCAACCCTTCAACGACATCTCCTTCACTCATGATTTCAACTCAAGATGGAATATTTCCAGACGTTATGTCAATATATGTGCGCAAGATGCGTCAAATATAGTAATTCGATATCCAGTTTCCATTGGCAGCAAAGAAGAGCACGCCGAGGTTGATTCACTGCAACAGAGAGGTAACATTGGATATCTGACAGTTAAAAAACTATAATCAATGAAGAGCCTTAGCTTCCTCTGTCGAACAAACTTTTCGACATTGCACAATGGCGCAGAACATGCAATTAAATACATTTCGACGATGGAACCGTTAACGTGGCATTGATAATCGATCTCTATCAGCACGGAGCTAACGCAAAAAAAACCGGTGCAAGTGACACTTGCGATAAAATAAACATTTCAATAAATATGTATTCACATGAATACAGAAATGGTATATATATATATATATATATATATATACTTATATATATATACATATATATATATACATATATATATACGTATATGCATACATACATAAGCACATACATACATACAGGCATGCATGAATTATAATATATATATATATATATATATATAGATATACATAGATATATATATACATACATACATATATACATATATATATATACATACATATATATATATAAAT